AGCTGGCCCAATCTGTGCTCAGAATAGCCCCCCCTCCTCCCCAAAATAACGCACAGCTGTGGCCTGGCCCCCGCGGGGTTAATACTGGCTCTCCTCTCCCTTCCTGGTAGCTGCTCAGCCATCAGCCCCCTCCTTTGCTTCTCAGACCCTGGCTTCTGAATTTTGGGGTCCAAGGTCCTTGTGACTGTGAGGCCTAGGAGGGCAGCCTCAACCCCATCCCATCATGAGGCACTGCTTTCCCATAAAAGACTCCTGAGGGCAACCTTTCTACCCAGCCCTGGTATCAGTCCTCTGAAAGCAAAGTCCCCAGAGCTCACAACAGGGCTGGCAAAGTCCACATCGACCTCCACCTCATGAATCTAGCCTTCTAATTTCGTCCCCACAGGGGCCTAAGAAGCAGTTCCCCCAGCCTTCTCTGTCAGGAGTCCTGGCTCTTCTTTCATAGGTGCCCTCCCTAAATTCCTGACTGAAGAATTGGCTTGGCAGGTGCCCACCTCACCCAGCACTGAAGTCCACTCATTTCTTTCTCAGGACCTGGGTATTCCGGCCTCCTCCAGCCCCAAGAGCTGGGAATCTTGGTTCCTGTCATGTTCTCCTTTAAGAAGTCCCCCTTTTGCCTCAGACCCCATCAGTCCCAACTTCCTTGCTGCCCACTAGCTCTGACGTTCCCAGTTGTTCCTCTCATATATTGTCCAGAGCAAAAGGAGGAAGGGGGTCTCTGTCTCCACTGCCCCCCAATCCATCATGGGAGTGGGGAGAGGCTCTGATCAACAGCTCCCCCTCCTTGTGCTGCAGAAAGCTGCCTGTCCCCACTGCATACACACGAACCAGTGTCTTCTCATCCCAGTCCTGGAAGGGCATTCCAGAACCTTGAGGAAGGGGTGACTGCTTGGGGCTGGGTGCCGGTCACTGGATGCCCTCAAGGTCCTTGGCAGGGGTATTAATAGCAGACTCATAGCTCTGAGGTGGGAGGGGAAAGCGAGAGGAGAGAGGGATAGCCAGCCATGGGGAGACTAATGCAGGGAGGGGTTGTAGAGAAGGTGAGGTAGAGAGATTGACAGAGGTGGGTTTCAGTTAGGCACAGCTGGGGACAGGGTAAAGTATCTGGAACAGAGGCCTGGGGTGATTTTGAGGTGTAGAAACCTAGGAAAGGGGCAGAGAGTGCGCACAAGAGCAGATGGAAGACAGTCCCTGAGGGACAAG